GCCTTGTAAACCCCCCCTCATTACTACCATTACTACATAAAAGATCACACGCCAATATCCGAATTTCTGTGCTTGAGAATGACAAGCTCTGAAATTGGAGGTTCGTGCGGGGACGCTTTTTTATCTAATAATGTGTAATTATTCTGTGGACAAACAATGTGTGTGGTTATATTTTTTCTATTAACTATTATCAAAAGTACTACTTCTAGAAACAACAAAAATAATAATAATAATAATAATAATAATAGTATTAGTAGTAATTATAAAACAATTAGGTTTCCAAAAGTAAGAATAAACTACGAATTCAAGTAAAATTTTCAGTCATCTTATTAAAAGTGAGCCATCCTACTTTTAAATTCACTTGCTATGACAACTAATAAAAAGTTTAGTATTACGTAATTCTTGCAAAACATTAAAAAATATTATCGAAAGAAAAATTGGATTTTTCATATAATAAAATAAATTATTACACGATTATGGTCTCCGGTCTGAAAAAACTGCATGTGATTTGGCATTTCTTTATATTTACACAGTTTTCTAATGCTGCTCAAATGTGCCATTAATGTACTGACACAAAAGTATATAGTGTAGGCTATTTTATACAAATATAACTGATGTAAATGACAAAAACAAAGTTTAAGGCTGATGTCTCTATTCATTTTCACAGAAGCAAAGCAGCAGATGTTATAAATAAAAACGGTTAACAATTTTATTGAATAGAATAGGCCTATATTAAAACCGTGATTGAACAACATAGGCCTATTCTTATAGGCTACATAGACAAAACAGTCGGAGATATTTATGCATTTTTTTTTCTATTTTACGCATTAGTGGTAAATCAAGACTTCGCAAGTTCTCTTGTAAAATAAAATAATAAAAAAACAACAACATGGAATAAACTGTGTAGGCCTACAGTAAAGAACTCTCAACATTAGGCTACTAAAAAGGTCAGTTTAATCTTGCAAAAACTCCCATTCTAAAAAAATCTCACTACCCTGCATTAATCTCTTACACTGCATCTTTGTTGTTTATGAAAAATTTGGTGCATGCACGTATATTATTATTGCGGCTTAGATGTTCAAATAGCTGCACTACTCCGACTTTGCCACAAGGAAAAGTGCGTACACCTGCTCAGACCCTGACGTGGCGGTAAGTACTTTTCCACGTCAAAGACCGTTTTTATAAATATGAACGTTGCCGTAGATTTTAGCGTACGCACACGCTAAGATCAAATCTGTGCGTACGCACATTTTATAAATGAGGCCCCTGGTCTTGAAGGGTCACTGTCACGCAGAGTTTAGCTCCAACCTTAATAAAACTCACCTGCCTTTAGCTTTCTAATAATCCTGAGTAATTTGGATGCAGTATTAGTAGTTTTTACCAAAATACAAAATAGTATTTTGTATTTCAAATACGTATTTTAAATACATGTATCTGAAATACTGCCCATCCCTGTTTGCATTTGTGTTTATGTAAAAGAAAAAATAATGCATAACCAAACAGAATGAATCCATTTTTGATAAAAGATGCACTTTTTTTTCAATCTGGGCAGAGTTTTTACAGTTCAGCTACACAAAAAGATAAAAAGGGATTTGGCTTAAATTTTAAAGAAAGTTGAGATAAACATGAAAGTAAGTTGAGAGAAGGACAATCTGGACATGAAACACTCCATATGCAAACTTTCAATGTGAGAATAACAGTTTTTGAAGTGAATTCATGAACATCATGCCACAACTCTGATAGATCAAAACTATCTTTAAAAATAAATACATAAGGATAGATAAGATATACATAAGATAGACAGCTTAAATAAATAAGATAGAAGCTTAACTTTTACAACTCCTGATTACAGTGTTTTTCTTTTCACCAGATTCCCATCAGCTCACTCTGGATCCAAACACTGCACATAAACTCCTCCGTCTGTCTGAAGGGAACAGAGTGGTGACTTACACTGACACACCTCAGCCGTATCCTGATCATCCAGACAGATTTGATAATACTCTTCAGGTGTTGTGTAGAGAGAGTGTGAGTGGACGCTGTTACTGGGAGCTTGAGTGGAGTGGGAGTGATGTGCGTGTATCAGTGTCATATAAGAGCATCAGCAGGAAGAGATCTGTTTATGAGCGTGTGTTTGGATATAATGATCAGTCCTGGAGTTTGTTCTGCTCTCCCTCCAGTTTCTCATTCTGGCACAATAAGAATCAGACTAAACTCCCTGTTCCCTCCAGCTGCAGGAGAATAGGAGTGTATGTGGATCACAGTGCAGGAACTCTGTCCTTCTACAGCGTCTCTGACACAATGAACCTCATCCACACAGTCCAGACCACATTCACTCAGCCGCTCTATCCTGGGTTTTGGGTTTGGGGTCATCAATCATCAGCAAAGCTATTATAACTATCTAGATTATAGAGAGATCTACACATTGTACTTTTATATGGCAACTCTGAGATGCATGGTAAATCTGAATATTTACATTTTATGTGCATTTTATGTGTATTCATTCACCACGCACTTTTATCCAAAGTGGCTCACAAAAGAGAAACAGTGAAATGTTGTAGGTCTTTTATTTTCTTGATCTTTTGTCATGTAAGGGTTCTTTGTACCATTAAAACACCCTGCAAGTTTCATAGCTTAAAACGTCCTCCTCATTAAACAAAGCATTTATTTAATCAAGCTCCAAAAACGGCTTGTTTTGGAACCAAGGGGCAAGATGATGTCATCCGGGCACAAAGATTTGCATAAACCCCGCCTCCAGAGAAAACACTCACATGTGATAGCGAGGGGGCGCTGATACTGTTTCCTGTGCTATGATGTTAGCCAATCATAACAGTGGGCGGATACTGACGAGCCTTAAAGGACCCGCCCCTTAAAACAGGTCGCTTTAGACAGAGGCTCAGAATAAGGGTTGAAAATAATCACTTTCTACATTTTTTTTTTTTTTGTGCAAAAAACTTTAACATTATAAGTAAACCTCAAGGTACATATTGAAATAAAAAATCCATGTCATGACCCCTTTAAAACAAAACTACAGCTGAACTTCTGTCACTGACAGTAACATAAATTATACAATACTATAACTGAGTGAATACTTTTTCATCAGATTAATCTAATATTGATTGTAAAATTGGTCAAATTCTTTGTCTATGGAAAAATGGTTAAAATATCATTCTATAACCAAAGTCACTATTTTAATTATTCAGGAGTCCCAACTGAGTCTTAAAAACAAAGTGTTAATCTTATCACCCAAACTCAGTTAAATTGATGAAGATACACCAAAAAATCTTGGCCAAAAGATTAAATGTACTTTCATAATCCTGTAGGAAGGGATCTGATACAGCTGTGCTCTAATTACACAGAAGAGGACCTTTAATAAGGTGGACTCAACATTGAAATACAGTGAAATCTGCATTTTAAGAAAATATTTTTAATCTCAATGATGATCCAGAGAAATTGGGTGCATCTGAACTAAATTCAGTCAAAGCAATAAAATTTAATCCCCTGAGACCCTGCATCCTCATATGAGGACATTATATTTTAGTAAATTTCTCTGAGGCTATACATGCCACAGTTTGAAGTCTGGATGTCCTGTAAAGAGCACATTCAGGGCTTTTCAGAAATGTTCTGATGTTTCACCATCACCACTCCCTCCCCTTGCTCTTCAGAAATGTCTGATATTAATTTAGTGACACTCTTAAGGAAATATGATAATATTTTGTAATTATCATTTAAATCTGAC